CATGTTACTTTTTTATTTTAACCAAATGTCCACTCTTTCTTTGGAAAAATATTTAGGTCACTGGGCTATTTTTTATTTGGATTTTTTTCTTATTATATGAGTAGTTAGGATATGATTATGTGGTTTCATTCTTTTTCTCATTTGTAGGCTGTCTTTTCATTTTGTTGATCATTTCCTTTGTTGTGAGGTATAGTGCCACATGTTCACTTTTGCTTTTTTCATCATTGATTTTGATGTCAAACTGAAAAAATAATAATCGATCGTAAAGATCAATATGAGAGTTCTCTACTTTTGTTTTCTCCTAAAAGTTTTGCACTTTCAAGACTTATGTACAAGTCTTTTAGTCTTTTTGTGTGAACAGTACAAGACCAGGGTTCCAGTTTCATTTGTCTGTGCCTGTGTCTACAGTTTTGCCAGCCTGGCTATAATTTAGACTCTCAGTCTAAATGTGACTACAAGAAAATGACAGCCTTCAAAGTCAGGTTGATTTTTATCATTTTCTTTAAAGGGAGTTCTAATTGTTTCAGATTATTCCCTCCTTCCTTCCTTCTCTTTCCTCACAACTCCCCACCTTTATACTAAAATATTTTTGATGTCCAAATTGATAATTTTCCCCAAATGTATTTTCTTTCTTTTTTCTTTTTTTTTGTCATTGTTGTTTTTGTTTGCCTGGGATACACAGAGCTGTACCCAGATCTTCTATCTCCACTAAGGAATCACTCCTGGAAGGCTCAAGGGACTGTATGGGATGCTGGGTATCAACCCAGGTCAGCATGTGCAAAGGCAAGCACCTTACCAACTGTAATATCTCTCTGGCCTCCAAAGTATATTTTTTAACTGCTTTCCTAAAAAATGTTCTTTGTCATATTTGGTTTGGAAATACGGCATACAAATTCCCTTCATAGTTTAAAACCCAGAAAAGTCCTACAGTTTTTAAAATTCCAGCAAAAATGGTATGCTTTTGCTAAAAGTAGTCTATAGACCAAACATGATTGCCACTCAATGCCTCTCTTGCAAAACACAGTACCCAAAAGAAGAGAGAGAGAACAAGGGGGAATGCCCTGCCACAGAGGCAGGGTGGGACGGGGGGGATGGGGGGTGGGGGGGATGCTGGGACCCGTGGTGGTGGAGAATGGGCACCGGTGGAGGGATGGGTACTTGATCATTGTATAACTGAAACCCAAGCACAAAAATTTATAAGTCTATAACTGTACCTCATGGTGTTTCACTAATAAAAAAAAAATGGCATGCTTTATTTTATTTATTCAGTATTCTCCCAATTTCCCTCTTAGTAACAGCCATCACACCCTAAAGAATAGTCAACATCCCAGCTCAAGAACATGCCCCTGCCACTAGTGAAACTACCTGTTAGGGAGTAAGAAGGAAATTGCCACTGTAACTGTATCTCACGGTGATTCAATTTAAAAAAAAAAGTTATGGTTAATAATCTATGGTGTATTCTCACTTGATCTCCTAACTCTTCCCCCTATTCTTTGGGGACCTTGTTCTTGATTCCAGGGCCCTTAAGCAGCTGTCAACGTCCTACTGCTTTCCCATAAAGCTCAATCTCCCTTCCCCTCCCTCACACTTACAAATTAGTGCTAGAAGATAAGAACAAACAAACAAACCTCACATCTTCCACATCAAGAATAGAAAGAAAGCAATCAAGTTCAGAAGTTGGTGTCTAAAGGCAAAAACGCCTCGTAGGTCAATAAATCTCAAGTCTGTTACCAGCTCTCTTATAGAATTCTCTTTTTTTTTTTTCTTGGAAAAAGGAATTTTACTAGGATAATTGATATCAGGAACTTGAGATCAATTCATACCAATATATGAGTAAGTATTGAACAATGAATTTGCATTTGATGGAGATGACTGTATTGTCCACAGTTGGAGCTGTAATTGCTATGCCTAAACATCTAAGGAGGAGGTCAGCTATAGCTTTTGCTGCCTTTGACCAGTAATAATATTTTTCCACTTTATCTCCCTCTAGTCTCTCCTTTCTCCTTTCATTAGTGTGATTAGTCTTCTTATTTTGTTTTAGTTGTTCCATCAGTTGTACATCTTTTTAGTACACAAAGAGGTATAAATATATAATACCTCTTTTTTCCTTTGTCTTACTTTACTTCTCAAGCTTCATTTTGTTCCAGATGGAAGGTTTCACTTTTTAACAGCAGAATAATATTCCTTTCTACAAATCTTTCACATCTTTGTCCAATCTAATATCAGTTATACTTTACTTGTGTCAGTATTTTTGCCTTTGTAAGAAGTTCTACAGTAAACATTGGAAATGATGTAGCTTTGTATTATTAATATTTTGTATCTGAGATAAATGCGATAGCACAGCGGGTAGGGCGTCTGCCTTGCATGCAGCCAACATGGCCCACCCAAGTTCGATTCCTCCGCCCCTCTCGGGGAGCCCGGCAAGCTACCGAGAGTATTCGATATGCCAGACACAGTAACAACAAAGTCTCCAATGGAGACGTTACTGGGCCCGCTCGAGCAAATCTGAGATAAATACCCAGACATGGGGTTGCTGGATCATCTGGTAATTCTATAATTTATCTTTTTAAAGACATTTTCATAGTATATTCCAAAACAGTTGTACCAATTAATATTTCCACTAATAATGTACAAAAATTCCTTTGGAACAGGGTGTTGTGTCTGTCTGTATGTCTGTGTGTGTGTTATCATATATATAACAGGTATCACAGGTAGAATGGTTGCCCTGCACACAGCCAACCTAGGTTTAGTTCTTCAAACCTGCCCAGGAGTTATTCCTGAGCACAAAGTCAGGAGTAGCCCTGAGCACTGCCAGAAATCACCAAAAACCAAATGGGAAAATTTTTTTTCTTTTTTTTCCATACCTTCTCCAACATTTATTATTGCTTTTTTTAAAGTCGTTCTCATTGTTACAAAGTGATATCAAATTGTGGTTTTATCTTGCATTTCCCTGATGATCACTTATAATGAGCATATGTCCTCTTTGTAAAAATGTCTATTCAAACCTGCTGCCCATTTTTTGACTGGGTTGTTTGGCTTGGGTTTTTTTTTTTTTTTTTTTTTTTTTTTTGCTTTTTTGCTTTTTTTGGGTACAATGCACAGGGATTACTCCTGGCTCTGCACTCAGGAATTACTCCTGGTGGTGCTCAGGGGACAATATGGGATGCTGGGAATCGAACCCAGGCCGGCCGTGTGCAAGGCAAATATGCCCTACCTGCTGTGCTATTGCTCCAGCCCCTGACTTGTTTTTTTTTTTAATGTTAGATTCTATTAGTTCTTTAAATACCTTGGATATGAACCCTTTATCAGATGTAGAATGTGCAAATATCTTCCAGGTTGTATGGTCTTTTCATTATGTTCATATCTTTGATTGCATTGAAAAACAAAAGCATTTCCATCTGATATAGTGCCAGTTGTTTATCTCTACTATCATTTCCCTTGATTTTTCAGTAAAGTCCCAAAAGATCTTTGTGCTAATGTTATGAGATGTTTCACCGGAGTTGCCTTCTATATACTTTATGGTTTGGGTCTTAAATCAAGGTCATTAATGCATTTTGAAATTGTTTTTTACATGGGATTATTCCAACTTCACTTCTGTTTTGGGGGGATGGAGGAATCAGACTTCCATGCAGTGCTCAAGAGGCCCCAGGAGACCTACAGCTATATCAGCCAATCCTTTCACAGCAGTGCAGTGCAAATGTCCAAGGATATGATATTACTTAGATATTGTGGTGTTGGGGATACGTGTGCCACCCCAGCAGTGCAAGGGGTACCTAGGTCTACATCTAGCGGTGCTCCGAGGTCTCCAGGGCTGCACCCAGCATTGCTCGGGGGACTGTGTGGTGCCGAGAATCCAGCCCAAGTTGAGCATGTGCTTGGCATGCACCCTAACCACTGCGCTGACACCTGGCCTCTCAATTTCATTCTTTTGCATGTGACTGTCCAATTTTCCAGTACTATTTGTTGAAGAGACTTTTATTTCTCTATCATGTAGCCTTAGATCTCTTGTCAGAAATAGTGGAGGTGGTATATGTTTATTTCTGGCTTCCAGTTCCATTTGAGTGTTCTGTGTAACTTTTTTTTTTCCTTTTTTTATTAGTAAAAAACCATGAGGTACAGTTATAGGCTTACAAATTTTGTGCTTGGGTTTCAGTTATACAATGATCAAGTGCCCATCCCTCCACCAGTGCCCGTCATCCATCCCCACGGGTCCCAGCATCCCCCCCCAACCCTCATCCCCCCCCCCACTACCATACAATTTTTATAGCAGAGATTAAAATCAGGTAATATGGTGTGTCCATTCTTTTTTCCTTCCTCAGGATTGCTCTAATTATTGAAAACCTCCCATGATTCCATATAAATCCTTTTTGTTGTTTTGTTTTGTTTTGTTTTGTTTTGAGGCCACACCTAGAAGAAATAAATACTCCTGGCTCTGCTCAGGGATCATTTCTTCCAGTACTGGGGATTGATCTTGGGTCAGCTGCATGCAAGGCAAGCACCACTGGCGCCTATAAGTTCTTTGTTTTCTACTTAATGTTTTCAGAGATTTTTGTTCTGTTTCCTTTAAAAATATCTCTGAAATTTTGATTGCTATTGCTTTAAATCTATGTATTGCTCTTAGAAGAACATGTATCTTCTGTGCTCAGTGAAATATCATAGTTAAAATTCCTTCAGAAATTACACAGATTTTACACATTTTTTATCCATCAAGAAAATTAAGTTTCGGTACTTACAGTAGTTTACAAAAATTTCATTTTTCAAGTGTGTTTGTCTTATTTCTAAAATAATATGCCTCAAGCAGTAGTAGGTTTTTGTTCTTACTTTTGTTCCTCAAATTTATCTAAATATGCCCTAGTGACAATTTGGAATTAAAGAAAACTGCCCTCCTTTTTGATCTAGTTTATCCTACTTTTACCAAACAAAGTAAAAGTGTATCTTAGATAGTTTTTATATATTTTGTGGCTTCTGGTAAATATGTCTTTCTCTTTGTTTTGTTAAAGGATTGTTCAAGTTTAGAAGAATATAATATTGCTGCTGCATTACTCCCTTTGACCAGTGCTTTTTATAGGGTAAGTTTTGTTGGTCTACATATAAACTTATTATAATTTATATAAATGTATTCAATTTGGTTTATAATATAACTACACAAATTTTTGCCTTTGAGTGTAAGATGTTTGTGACTGTATAATATTTCTTGTATATCATGGTCACGGTCCTCCCATTGTTCGTCGATTTGCTCGAGGGGCCCAGTAATGTCTCCATCATGAGACTTGTTGTTACTGTGTTTGGCATATCAAGTACATCACGGGTAGCTTGCCAGGCTCTGCCATGCGGGCGAGATAATCTCGGTAGCTTGCCGGACTCTCCGAGAGGGGCGAAGGAATCGAACTCGGGTCGGCCATGTTTGGCCGCTTGTAAGGTAAATGCCCTACCACTGTGCGATCGCTAATTCTTACTGCTAAATCATATAAGATAGAGCCCCACCCAGTCCATTCTAGCTTTCTTTTTATATTGCACTTTATAACACCTGAAATTGTATTATATATTTATTTATTAACATTTGATTGTTTTCCTCTACCACAGAACATAAATTGAAGGAGGCTAGAATAGTAGCTTATTCACATCTATATTCAGATGTCTATAAGTAGATATTTGCATAATGAAAGAATAAACAAATTAAGTTATTGAGGAGAAAAACTAAAGCTTCATTTCATTGGTAATTTCTGTGACACTTCTGAAACTTTTCTGGATCTTTCATAATTCTGTCATTTATTACGTGCTTCTGTGTTATCTTTTGTGTATTTTATATATTATGCATTTTTAAGACATGTTTATAAAGAGATGCATGGGAGGAGATAGGTTGTTTTGTTTTGTTTTCAGTAAACAAATCTGGCAAAAGAAATAATTTTTTCCCTATGCTTTGTTAGTAATTAAATTAACACACTCTCTATGGTACATTTAATACATCCTTAGGAAATGTGCTAAAGGAAAAAATACGCCTCTGACAATAATGGTGACTCACTATTCAGCTACATATACAAGTCATTTCATGAAGTCTGAGACTTCTGCCTTAATGTACTGCAGGTTTCAAGGGTCTCAGTCTGGAGATTTTGTTAAATATTAGAAGATCTGTTTTAGTTGAAAACATGGCACCAGATGAAACAATTCTGGTAGAATCCAAGCTATGAAATGATCAAACCCTTAGATATGGACAGTATTTTCTTACTCTTTATGTTCTACTCATCATTCTTGTTTCATCACTATTTCTAATAATGAAGCCTCATTCTCTTGCATCTAGTAGGTACTCTAGAACACAATAGGTGTGACAGTGCAGTGCTAGTTCATTTTTAAATCTTTGCTTTGTAGAGGTTCTTAGGCACTTTGGTGGTGGTGAAGGTACAGAAACTCTGTACATCAAGACAGTAAATGTTAATGTCGTTATAACCATGTTACCTAAATTACAGCAAAAAGAATTTTTTTTTAGGAGTACTGCTATTTATTCAGCCACTGATTAGCTGATTGAATTGTGCATGAACTCCACCTTACTTTTTTTTTCATTTTTTATAATTTTATTTATTGAATCACCGTGAGAGCAGTTACAAAGCTTTCAGGTCTAAGTCTCGGTCATACAATGAAACACCCGTACCTTCACCAGTGCCCATTCTCCACCACCAAAAACCGCAGTATACCCCCATACCATACCCTCCCCCTACCTGTGGGGCATATGATTTCCACATTACTCTCTCTCTACTTTGATCACATTCAGTATTTTGACACCAGAACCACCATTATTATTTGAGATTTTACCCCAACACTCAGATCTGCTGAAAAGGCAACAATAGACAATTTGTGTTCTATTGCTGGTTACAAATAACATATGACGTCACATGGCTGCAGTAGGGCCATGTGATTTTGAAATTCCAAAATTTTAACACTTAAATCTGGAGGGATTTCTGCCAAAAGCCACTGGGTTTCGAGATTTGCTCCCGAGTCTCTGGGATCATGGCCGTTGAGCAGCTTGATCAGGAGCCAGAGAGGCCGTTTGTGTGCGATGACTTGGGGTCTCGTTGGGGTGGGGAGGACAGGACCGGCTCCACCCCCATCCCGTGAGGCCCTGCGTGTCTCGTCACTGGGGGCCCAAACCTGACTATCCAGTGGCCTCTGAAGGATGGTGGCCACTGGGCTGCCAGTGGGAACAGGCCAAGGCACGAAACCTATTCCCACCTGGGTTGGCCCAGCACTGGTAACCTACTGCAGGGACCGGACGCTTTTCTGCCTAAAGCCGCTGGGTTTCGAGATTTGTTTCTAAGTCTCTGGGATCATGGCCATTAAGCAGTTCGATCAGGAACCAGAGAGGCCATGCCTCCAATTATATAGCTGAGCCAGAGGTGGTTTGTGGGTGTGTCTCCCACATACCTAACTTTTGGCCGTTTACTTTCTTGGTAAACTTTGCCCCAAGTTTTTGGAGTCTGGCCAAAGGCACAGAAGCAATTTTGGGGTATCTGGAAGTCTGAAGGCGCCATCAGGCTGCTGATGCACTTGCCTCACAGGTACAGATTGACCTGCTGGTGGCACCATACTCCCGTACAGCAAAAATTTTTAAGAAAAAAAAAATTCGCTCATCTCATCTGTTCACTCTGACTCTTACTCAAAAGTCATCCATCAACAGAGCTTTTACTCTACTATAATTCAGTAAATAGCCTTATTTCATCCTAGTAGTGACTATTTCCCGTTCTCTTCTAAAATAGAAAATGAAATCTGTGCGGTTCTTAACTTCAGAGAACTGGAAAGCATGCTCAGGAAACAAACATAAATCTCAAAATGTTAAACAAATGAATTTTTATGCATAAAAACTGACCAGATCCTGGTCATCTTTAGGTCTTCCTCCCTGGCTTCGGCCAGCTCTGCATCTACCCCAGTTTTCTTTCACTGTATTATATCTAGTTTTTTTTTCTAAACTCCCCACTCCTTCAGCTCATTTCTCTGAGAACACTATACATAGCTCTGTAGCACTGTCCTCCCGTTGTTCATCGATTTGCTTGAGCAGGCCCAGTAACGTCTCATTGTGAGACTTGTTGTTACTGTGTTTGGCATATCGAATACGTCACGGGTAGCTTGCCAGGCTTTGCCGTGCGGGCTAGATACTCTCGGTAGCTTGCCAGGCTCCCCAAGAGGGGCGGAGGAATCGAACCTGGCTCGGCCGGGCCAGCAGCTTACAAGGCAGACGCCCTACCACTGTAGCATGTGAGGGGGCAGCGGTGGCTCCCAGGGGATGAGACTGGATGAGGCAGTGTTGCACAAGGAGTAAGGTGCCAACCACCACACCCACGGGCCAGAGAGACAGCATATCATGGCACGGCATAGTACAATACAGTGTTGTACAGTATAGAAGGGCATAGTATAGGATAGTAGGTGTATAGTATAGGATAGTAGGTATACAATATAGCACAGTAGGTGTATTGTATAGTGTAGCAGAGCATAGTACAGTGCACTATAATAAAAATAAACCAGGAGCTCCTAGTTTCTAATCCACCCATTGGACTTAGTATCTCAGGGTAGCTAGAAAACTTCGTACTTTATCATAATAATTTGGATTTTCCCCCTAAATAAAATGGCATTCACAATTTTTCCATTTCCCCGCATAACATATTTTTAATATTTGGTTGTTAGGTAGAAATGCATAAAAAGTAATGGAAAATAAAACTTAGCAATAGAAGCTGAATTGCTCGTGGGCAGGAGCAGCAGTAGGGGGTTAAGGTGCCAAACCAAGTTCGGTTTCTAGAACCACATCTGATCCCCCAAACAGCACCAGGAATGACCCCTAAACACAGAGCCCCTGACCACTACCTAAACCCCATTCAAAAAAAAGGAAGAAAGTCAATTTCTCAAGTGACACAAATCACTTACAATTTTTAGCTCATTTTTTCCATCTAAAAGCAAATTAATGGTAAACTATATCATTATCCCAGCACAAGAAAGTGCAGTATAAACAAAGTTTGTTTGGGCTGGGTGAATGCCATCTTGCAGTTAATGTAACACATCTGATATTTAGCCTCTGTGAACTATTTGATAACAAAATACAGACTTGGGGAAGGTTATAGATTTATTAATTCAGGAAAATTTCTATAGATTGTATTATCTCGGCCATAAATTACAAATGAACTATCCTTACACTAGTTTAGCCAGTATAAACCCCCAAATTTATTCAGAGGATGGGTTCATTTGTCTTATTTAAACTTACTTTGAAAATATTTTAGTATTATTTGTTAATCTTTTTCTTTATTGTAACAAGCTGTTGAGCATCTGAACATAAAATTATAAGGAGGGCAGATTTGTGAATAAATCACATGACCACTAATATTTCTAATAAGAACTCATGGTTAAAAAAAGCCAAACTGACCCATAATTCCATCAACCAGATGGACATTTCATTAAACAAAAAATACGTAAGGCATGTTTAAATAGTACAAAAATTCAGATAGTACAAAAAGGTGTAGCTAAAAGTTCCTTTTTTCCTCCACCTCATGTCTTCTGACAGTTGGTTTTTTGAGGGGTGAGAAGTATCATGTGTTATTCCCATCTGTACAGATAAAATTAACTAATTATGTTTATCTAAATAGCCCAACCATTGGTGCTTTCTTGCACTTAAAATTTATTTTTTCAGAGAACTTTCCATCTCCCTAATTAAGCATATAGTCCATTGACCTAAAGGGGCACAGGGAGCAGTGTGCACCCCCCGCCCCAAGCAGTGTTCAGGGGTCTGGATACCACCCCCAGGGATACTCAGCCTGTCATGGTGATTTGATACTGCTTGGACCCAGCAGCCAGGAGCTACCAGGGTAACCCCATAATGTGCAGGGCTACTAGTGATAGGCAGTGCTGGGGTGGCAAAGCATGTATGGTGTGGATCAGACTTGTGTGCACAGCAGCCCTTTGAGCTATTGCCCTGTTCCCTAACTATCTTGGTTAGGGTGGGGGCCGGGGGCGGGAAGCACAACCTGAAGGGCTCTTTCTTAGAATTTGCTCCTAGAAGTGCTTGAGGGACCACATGGTGACAAAAATTAAACCT